CTTCAGAATGCGCGAGCACGCACGGGGGTACCCATCTGCGATAGCCTTAGAGGGCTGCGCTTACACTCATAGAATCTGGGGTTACAATACGTAACCAACGTTCTATTTCATGTAAGCTCCGCCCTCTAAGGCTATCGTTGATGGGTATCCCTCCGCGCCCCACGCGCATTCTGAATAAACCAATAGTCTACGCCCACGTACCGTGGGGCCCCACCTCCGGGACGCATAAAAGGTGGCCGGCCCGGAGCTCGTCTCCCTCTTTTTCTTCAGCTTCGGCATTTTACATGTAACCATAGAAGACGCTATGGTTTCTTTATATCGACATGTAACTCATGTCCGGCACCACCAGCTATGATCCGTGCACCATCTTTACCGGGCTGTTTGGGGTTCGGTTTTACCCCTGCATGACCCGTTTTTTACTCCAGTCTCCTTCCTTCGAGAAGGATGATCAAGGCTGGCTAATATTTTCCCGTGGCTGTTCTCGCGCCAGGGTATTAAGCTAAGCTAGGCGCCGGACATTGTTGTGCTGCCACGTGGACTTAAGGAGTCTCAGCCCATGTGGTTTTTTCTTATTCATCTCTGTTATGGTCTGAGCTATCTCTCTCTTTGGGAGGACCGAGCTAGCCAAATTTCCTGCCTGGGACACAGCGGTAAACTGGCTAAGCCAGTTAGCTACCTACCCCTGAGCTAAGTTGGGCGCTATCCCTTGCATTGGACTTGGAGAAGTCCCCGCTTACGCCGATGGGATACGAGTGAATTATCCCCGACGTTTGGCAGGCTTCCTGTCCCCGCTTCTCAGTGGAGAAGCTGGGGTCAGTTGAGCTGCTGCTCGTTGTAGCTTCGAGCCGTGGAGGCACTAATTAGCTTGACCAGACCATTTGAAGGTTGCTGCTAGGTTGCTGCTATCTTGCTAACGTAACACGGAGGTGTCAGTCGCTGCTAGCTCGCTCGTAACACGGATGTGTTAGCTAGCTGTGTTTTTTTGAGGCTTCAGATATCGGCGCTCCCAGCCAGGACTAGACTGGACGTTTTTTCCCAACCATTCAGACGAGACGCTTCTCATCTGTGACATGGTCAGAGCTGTCTTTCTCCGAGGAGGGAGGCTAGGCTAGTCAAGTTTTTTCTCCCACCTGAAACTCAGTGTTAAACTAGCTAAGCCAGCTAGTTAGCTAGCTACCTAGCTAAGCTAGGTCGGGTTCTGACATTCAGCAGACATCCTGTTCCCGCTTCTCAGTGGAAAGGCCGGAGTCAGCTGTGCTGCTGCTTGGTGTAGTTTTTAGCCTTGGAGTGTGCTAATTAGCTTGACCAGTCAATTCGAGGGCCGCTGTTAGCCTGCTCGTAACACGGATGTGTTAGTTGCTACTAGCTCGCTCGTAACAGCTCATAACTTGTTAGCTAGCAGGTTTTGAGGCCTTCAGATGTCGGTGCTCCCAGCCAGGACTGGACTGGAAGATTTTTCAGACCGACTACGGTTCCTGCCGTTTCCAGAGCTGGAACCCGTACCTTCCAAGGTCTTCGGCGCTGAGGCGGTATGGTCTGCCGGAAGGTGACCTTTTTCCCCTCACAAACAGTAGACCAGCAGCTTGGCAGCTGGACCGACCAGTTCCGCTAACGTGCAGAACAGTCGGTTTCTATAACCAACAACACTGCTCTCCAGACTGTCAACTTTTCAAGAGCAGTGGAGAACGAGGTGCGACAGGACCTCCGCACAGCGGCCGGCACGAGTTTGAATCTCTGCGCCATTTAGGCCGTGTGTACATCCCGCATCATGGCTTGGAAGCAGGAGAAATGTGTTTTTCAATGATTGTGAGTAATCATCTTCCCTTAAGTGGGCAAATTCCTCTCACAAGTGTCCAGTTCAGTCATGTCTCAGGACGCTGTCTGTCTCACATATGTTTGCCCCACTCTGGGTAGGACTAAGCCGCTAGTCTTGTGCCTAGCCGGCCTCTGGTCTTTACCATTACAGTCACACAATATTCTCCTCTCCCACCGTTTTTTTCATATTCTGTGGTTCGTTCCTCCCCTTGTGGCCATCGAACGCACATGCTCTCTCCTCTTCATCCCACCGGCGAATGGCGGATGTAGGAGAAGAAAGTCAACATGAACCACGTCACAAGCAGGAGTACGTTGTTCCGCCCTGTTGCAGCATGAACCTACTGTACCTATCGCAGCAGCAAGATGAGCGCTGTATCTGGCTCTACTGAACTAGCTTGAACTCGTGCTCACGTACGGTCCCAGAGGTAGCCCCTCTCAGGTCATGTCCAAATCATTGATGGCATGCAGGGCTCCCCGGAGCTCCTGCACGGCCCTTTTCGAACCCAGCCTCCCATAGGTCACACGAGAAAGCGTGACGGCGGCTAGGCTCTGACTGTATCGGTTGCTGCGACAACCGCTCAGCAACCTGTACATGCTCGAGCTCTTTCGGAGCGCAGCGCGATCTGGGAACAGCTTTGTCCCATGGACCAATGGATGAAGCGCCTGGTAAAAAAACAGGTTACAGGCTGCAATTCGCAACCACGCCCCCTCGGTTCAACGGGATCCTGGAAACCCAGCTGTCGTCTCCACAACAGGATCTCGCTCTTCAGGCAGAACTTCAAGAACTCCTTAAATAAGGAGGTTTTTTCCAAGGTTCCTAGGGGAAGGAATACAAGGGTTTCTTTCTCAGTATTTCCTTCTCCCTAAAAAAGTCTGGTGCTATGAGACCAATCCTGGATCTCTCATATTTCAATCAGTTCATAATGAAAAGATCTTTCCACATGCTAACGACCAAAAGGGTGCGGTCATGTGTTCAGGAAGGCGATTGGTTCACATCAATCGACCTGAAAAATGCGTATTTTCATGTCTCGATCATCCTGGTGCACAGAAAATACCTGTGGTCCTCTTTTCAGGGGACTCTATACCAGTACAACCTACTCCCCTTCGGTTATGCACTGGCACCACACACCTTCTCCAGGTGTGTGGAAACAGCGCCTCTGCGCTCAGTGGACACGAGAGTCCTGTTTTACCTGGACGACTTGCTCCCACTGGCCCCTTCCAGACAGGAACCAATGTCACAAATGGAGAAGCTATCGGCACATCTGAGGATGCTGGGCTTCTCCATAAACCAGGAAAAGAGCTCTCTCATTCCAGCCCAGCTCATCACATATCTGGGTATTGACCTGAACTCACTCACCATGACAGCACGTCTGTCCCAGCCCAGAAAAAAGGACCTGCTGTCCTTGCTGGCATGCGTCAGGCCCTGCAGGTTGGTAATAGCCCTAACCATCATGCACCTCCTGGGCATGATGGCAGCAGCCCATACGGTGGTTCCGCTTGGACTGTTACACACCAGATGCGGGCAGCGGTGGTTCTCCCAGCTCAAGATCGATCCAATACACCTCAAGTGCAGGATCACATCGATCCCCTCCTCAGTGGAGGCGGACCTGAGTCACTGGAGAAACCCGCTAGCACTGGCGGCAGGAGTTCCCCTGGGCAGACGGACGCATCACGTGCCGGTGTTCACAGACGCATCTCTGTTGGGGTGGGGGGGACATGTCTGTCCCAGACTGTGGGAGACTGCTGGTCCCTCCACCCTGTCCCTCACATAAACGTGTTGGAGCTCCTGATGGTGTGGGAAGTGCTGTTGCACTTCACCCCTCTGGTCCAGGGCCAGCATGTTCTGGTCCACACGGACAACAGAGTGGCAGCAGCCTACATCAACCGTCAGGGGGGAGTGCGCTCCCGGCAGCTGCTGAACACAGCCAGAGAACTGCTCCTCTGGGCACACACCCACCTGCGCTCAATCAGAGCAGTTTTCATCCCGGGTGTGCTGAACAGGGGAGCGGACATCATGTCCAGGAGGAGTCCTCCGGACGGAGACTGAGTCTTGAACATGACCATAGCTACGCGAATCTGGGTCAGATTCGACAGGGCAGAGGTGGACTTGTTTGCCAGAAGATAGAACGTGCAGTGTAAACTCTGGTTCTCTCTGAGCTCACGGGACAACCCCCCTCTGGGGGTGGACGCATTTGCGCTGCCCGTGTGTCGAGCCCTTAAATCGAGCCTAATGGGCTCGACACACGGGCAGCGACAAACTACAGCGATTGATGGCTGTCATCGCAGCCAGGGTGAAACCCGACACACGGGACGCGATAGCGATCACAGCATTGTGAATCGCGCTCTCAGGTCGCTTGCCTTCACAAAATTTGATTGGTTCTTGACTCTGAAGGCTGGTGTGCATTACGGACGTGTAAACTAAACAAATCTTGCGATGCTAATGATATTGAAAAACAAACACACACCAAGATACAATTTTAGCCCTTTAAGGGCTCGACACACGGGAGGCGACGTCGCTCGCTCTCCATTCATTTCCTATGGAGCCTGTGCGATGAGGCGACAATCGCTTGCCCTCCTCCAGCCAAGTGACTGGCAAAACTCATGCATGTGAAATTTCACGCTCGTTCACGTAGACATGCACACGCGAGCTTGCGACGCGACAGATGAAAAATGATCGACCTTTGTCACTGTTGCTTGACGTTACATCCAATCAGCGAGGGTTTCATTGACTGACCAATGAGAGGACAGTAGCTATGCTACACACTGCAGTTAGCTAACACCATTATTTTAGCTCTGTCAAACGTTCTAGTTTTATATGGCCCTTCACCAAGTGATTACTAAAAAAAGCTTTATGGGAATTTGTTGGTGCCAGGGTGAAGTTGTCCGGTAAGTTTTTCCTCATAAAATTGTAACTTGGTGTGCATTTGTTTGTCATTATCATTAGCATCACAAGATTTGCTTAGTTACGTCCATGCACCCCCACCTTTTATTGCAAACCACCAATAACCTTTACAAGAGGCAATAGAAGAACCAATCAACTTTTGTGAAGACAAGCGACCCAAGAGTGCGATTCGCTACGCTGCAATCGCTATCGCGTCTCGTGTGTAGTGTTTCACCCTGGTTGCGATGACAGCCGTTAAGGGCTCGACACACGGGCAGCGACAAACTACAGCGGCAAACGGCTGTCATCGCAGCCAGGGTCGAAACCCGACACACAGGACGCGATAGCGACAGCAGCGATGCGAATCGCGCTATGGTGTCGCTTGTCTCAAAGCAATCTGATTGGTTGGCTTTCTACCCGTCATTTATTTGCGGTTGGGAAAAACAACGGTGCACTACCGCCACCATCTGGTTTTGTCGAGAAAAAAAATATTATTTTCAATATTGTGAGTGATTTTGACATTTTAAAAGCAGTCTGTATCAGATAAGGCAACGAGGATGAAGAGTCAGAAGATTTTACTGGAATTGACTGAAATCTTGCTGTTAAGTCTGCTCTACAAAAGAAAAAGAAAGCCTTGGGTTCACCCTATTTTACAGACAAGGAAGCAACGTGGTGAATATCATCATTTGATGACAGATCTCAAGGCAGATCCAGATAAATTCAGCGCCTACTTTCGTTTGAGCCCTGAACTTTTCTCCAAACTACTGAACATGGTGACCCCCAAAATTGAGGAGATTCACACAAACATGAGGGAACCCATCAGTCCTGAAGAACGGCTTACTATCTGTTTGAGGTATGTAATTTTTAATAAGTTTAAGCCCACAATATTTATTTTGAATGCTAGCAGTTATATTTTAACTCAGGTATAGCAGTGTATGGTTGTTTAGTGAAAAATGAACAGCACATGACAAATCTAATTATTTTAAAGAACTTTACATATTACACTTTTACAAAGAAGGTAAGAATTCAACATTTATGAGTGTTTTAAATATTAAACACATTTTTATAATACTATCCGGAGCTGTAAACATACAGTGCAAATGAGAGCAATTGCAAGAATCACTAAAGATGATATGAAGATAATTATCCTTCTCCAAACTCAAACTTGTGGAGCACTCTCATTATTTCCATCTTGGCCTCAGATTTTCGGGCTCCCATAAGCCGTCTGAGAATGGGCAAAAGGCATTGGAGGTAAAGCTCATCTTCATCTTCAGCAGTACGTTGGATTTGGGCTCGTATATTGTCCACTCTGCTGAGGATGGACTCCTCAAAGCTGGTCTGATCAGGCCTTCTCCGTTTCACTGGGTTGGTCTTTTGAGAAGATGATTGTGGCGTTTGTTGAGTTGAGAGGTCCAGGCTGCTGGAATCACTAGTGGTCTCACTGCTTGTAGTGTGCTGTAGATCAGCATCCACCCCATCTTCACCCTCTGTCACAGGCTCCAGGGTTAATGTTATCATTTCTTCCTCCTGCTCCTCCTCCTCCCTCTGTGGGTCATCTGCTGTTAGGTTGCCACTGGTATCACGCTTCTTTATATAAGGCTCCAGGAAGGACATGATGTGGAAGTACTTCCATATCTTCTGGTCACCAGCTGCTGAGCCACTTTTCTTAGTTTTGAGAGCTTTACGGGCCCTAATGAAAGTGTCTCTGAGGTTTTTCCAGCGCTTCTTGACCTTTTCACCTGTAAAAACAAGATCAAAATAAGTCAATACCATACTTACAAAAACATATATTAGGAACTTTTGAAAAATGTAATCAGTAAATATTTGTACTATTATATTACTTGTACTATTTATACTATTGCATTTAACTGTAACATAATTTCTTATTTATACATTTTCTTCAGATTCCTTGCAACAGGAGATTCCTTTGCAACTATTGGGTTCAACTACCGTGTGGGAAACTCAACTGCTGGAAAGATTGTGGATGACGTCTCACAGGCCATTTGGGATTTGCTGCAGCCTGAATACATGCCAGAGCCAACAACAGATGACTGGAAAGCCATATCAGAGGGTTTCAAAACCAAATGGAATTTCCCAAACTGCATTGGTGCACTAGATGGGAAACATGTTGTGCTACAAGCTCCTCCATCCTCTGGCTCCAAATACTTCAACTACAAAGGCTCACATTCTATTGTACTTTTAACTCTAGTTGATGCTACTTACATGTTTAGAGTCATTGATGTGGGAGGATACAGGAGGACCAGTGATGGGGGCATCTTCTCAGAGTCTCCACTTGGAAAACGTCTGAGGGCAGGCATACAGGGCATACCAGAAGACACCACAATACAAGGTGCAGAGGACCTGGGGCCAATGCCACATGTACTTGTGGCAGATGAAGCTTTCCCCCTTCAACGACACATCATGAGGCCATATCCAGGGAGACAGCTACAAAGAAAAGAGAGGTGCTTCAACTACCGCTTGTCTCGTGCCAGGAGAATAGTTGAAAACGCTTTTGGCATCCTATCTACCCAGTGACGAATGTATCGCCGTGCTCTGAGTATCTGCCCAGGGAAAGCTGATTATGTTGTGAAGGCAACATGTGTTCTTCATAATTACATGTGGCAAAATGGAGAAATGGAGCGAGGGATTCTACAGTTACCACCCACTGACAACACAAGAGATGCTGGTTTGGAGGCCATCACCCAGACTGGCTCCAACAACTCAAACAGAGAGGCAGCTTCAATCAGAAAAAAATACTGTGAATATTTCAACTCGACAGCTGGAGAGGTGCCATGGCAACATCAAATATTATAGATGGGTTTCAAGGGCTCGACACACGGGCAGCGACAAACTACAGTGATTAACGGCTGTCATCGCAGCCAGGGTGAAACCCGACACACGGGACGCGATAGCGATCGCAGCGTTGCGAATTGCGCTCTCAGGTCGCTTGTCTTCACAATATTTGATTGGTTCTTGACTCTGAAGGCGGGTGTGCATTATGGACGTGTAAACTAAACAAATCTTGCGATGCTAATGATATTGAAAAACAAACACACATCAAGATACAATTTTATGAGGAAAAACTTACCATAAACTTCACCCTGGTGCCAATAAATTCCCACAAAGCTTTTTAGTAATCACTTGGTGAAAGTGTTAGCTAACTGCAGTGTGTAGCATACTCTCCTCTCATTGGTCAGTCAATGAAACCCTCGCTGATTGGTTGTACGCTAAGCGACAGCGACAAAAGTTGAACATTTTCCACTTTCATATGTCGCGTCGCATGCTCGCGTGTGCATGTGCACGTGTACAAGCGCGAAATTTTACATGCACTATTTTCGCCGGTCGCTTAGCTGGAGGAGGGCAAGCGATTGTCGCCTCACCGCACAGGCTCCATAGTAAATGAATGGAGAGCGAGCGACGTCGCCTCCCGTGTGTCGAGCCCTTGACTGAGGCTCCAGCGTGCATGTGTGTGTTGGGGGAGGTGTGCTGCAGCATGCACAAAGAAGCTGAGTTTGTGTTTTTTTCTTTTCTTTTTTTGTCAGGTTTAACCCAGGGTGCAGGCAAAAATCCAAAAAGGTAACAAAAAGGATTTATTATAAACAAAGGAGGAGGGCTGTCGTGGCACAGGAACTCTCAGAGGAACAACTTGCACGAGGAGGAAACATGGAGAGACACCACACTGACTGTGAAGACAGTACAAAAACAACGATAGCACAAACACTGAAGACAGGACTCAGAATATAAAGGCAAACTAATTAAGGACAACAAGAAACACCTGGAGGAGACGCAAGAGGAAGCAGGTGAGCATGGGCGGGGCTAGTGGAATGACAGCAGGGGAGAGATACACAGGGGAACACCGAAACACTAGAAAACCAAGGAACATAAATACAGATCATGACATTTTTTTTTACAAATAAACTGATAAATTAATAAAATAAATATACTTTCTCTGCAATATTTTAATTCAAAGAAAAAATAATATGTTTAATAAGTGTATGAAACACTTATTTCTGATCAGACCCTGGAAAAATTAGCCATCTAAAAAAGTTTGAAATACTAGATTATACTCTGAATATTTTCAAATTAATAATAATTAATAATCTGCAGTTTGACAGTTGCACTTGGTAAGACTTCTTGAAATAAAGAAAACTTTTCCGGTTAACAAGGTTAATAATCCAACATAGTCTGGTCTTGTTTAGTTAAAAACAAGATCAAAAATACTTTTTAGCTGATATAAGATTGTAAAACTTGGTTACAGTTTTTGCAGTAAAATGACTCTACTTTGGAAGATTAAATAAGCTCCACTTTTAACCTGGTCTGGTCTGGACCAGGTTAGTTTCAGAGCACTTGTTACCACAGAAACATGAGCGCTTGCCCTCCCATGCAACCGATTCAAGGCTCAATTAATTCAGGTTTACACCAAAATCCAATTTAATCCCTAGATTTGTGCAATAGGCTCCAGGTGATGGGCTTGGTTCTTTCATATGTTGCTAGTTTACCTAGATTATGATGCAATAATCTGCAGGTTTTTGAAGCAGCTCATTTGCTGACACTAACAAATCATTTACATATTGTCAAAAAATGACTATGTATTTTTTATTTTTTATTTATTTTTTTGCTCTTGGACTTTCTCTGGAAGCATTAGACAGAAACTGCAGCATGAAAACATAAAAAGTGCATTTTGTATAATAGGTCCCATTTAAAACTAATGTCATGTTTTGTTGAGAAATGAAGGACTTGTAGTTGAAAAGGTTTCTTAGCTGCGGCAGCCATTTTTAACTGGGTTGACTTCAAAAGGTAACATCACTTTCTGAAAGTTTCATAGACTTCCATTCAGAGGTTCATGAGATATTTTCTAAAATGTTTTCTATATGATCCAGACAAATGAGCACAAACAGGCAAAATGTGATCACTCCTTCCCCTGTCGGTGATTAAAAAAGGAGAACCGACAGGATGTCTGCAGAAAACCCATCAACTACATGAATATAGACGGTTAGAACAGACTAATTTTTTTCTTCTCATCAGATATTCACAACCACTTACTGTGAACTCCTGAAACAACAAATGTAGAGTATTTCTTTCCTCTGATAAAACCAATGATTTGTACAAAAAAAAAAGCACTAACTCCAGGTTAGACACAAAGCTTCAACACCATCTAGTGGTAGATAGAAGGAAGAACAGATTCAATTTAAAAGTTTCACACGTTTGTTGGTTCTGACAGTTTAGAGCTTTTTTTTTCTAGTTCAGACTTTGTTCCAGCCTGTTCTGAACCATGACTCAACTGTCTGTTTACATTTTAGGCACATTTCAAAACTTACCTTTTTATCCAAAAACAATCAGAACAGCTACAGTCTGTTTTAAATGCTCACAACTTGAAATGTTGCAGTCTGGTCTTTTTCAGCACAGAAACTGCAGTTTTAAAAGTTTTAATTATCCTTTGTTAGCTACAGATTCAGGAGAATCAGCTGTTCTTTTGATTTTAGACCTAAGTCTGTCTCTGATGCAGCTGACTACAGGATTCTGATCTCCTGGATGGAGAGCTGTGGTATCTGTGGTCCTGGACTGGACTGGTTCAGGTCTTACTGACAGCAGTTCCTCTGGAAGCCTGGGAGAATGAGATTTGTAATCAGCCCTCCTCACATGTGGTTTTCCCAGTGCTGGCTCTAGCCATTTTGGTGCCCTAGGCGAGTTGAAGCCCCCGCCCACTAGTTTACTATGGTAAACTTAGATTTATTTGCTTTAAACACAAACATACATCACACAACAAATTAAATGAATAAATAAATTAAATATAAATAATAAGCTTTAAGCTGCTTTAAAGTCGCCATCAAACATAAACTAAATCTGACATAATGCAGCTGCTTACTAGAAACTCATCAGTGAGTAAAACTTTTTTTTACTTTCAATAATATTTTTGTATTTATTACAGATTTAGTCAGTCATACACTTAGTCCTTATCAGTGTTTAAAAGAGGACGTGTTAAAACTCAGTTTAGTCAAAGTCAAACATGAAGCATCAAAGTTCATTACAAGTGGCCCTTCGAGGGCCACCATAACTCTCATGTGGCCCTCGGTGAAAATGAGTTTGACACCCCTGGTCTATAATAAAACAAAGTGAATCAGTTATTGAATGAAAAGGGCCCAGAAAAATGAAAACAGATCTTATAATATCTGCCCCTTATAAAAAAGTTTTTATCTGCTCATTTGTTGAATTAAATCAGAGATGAAAAACTCTATTTTATTTTTAATTTCTCAGGTAAACCTGTTGTTCTTCATAACTAAGTGATTAAATTGTGTTAAATTGTCTCTTTTGCTCATCCAGACATTTCTTACGTACACTGACACATGTATATTGTTGGAGAATTTGGCCTTCTTTATGCTTTTTGTTTAAATGGTACAACTTTATATCAGAGGACTCATTTGTGTTTGATCTCATTTCACTTCCTTTGATCTTCTTGAGTCTTCAAAGTGAATACTATTGTGAGTGTGGGACTAATATACAGTAAGATGTAGGTCTGCCCTGCTGGAAGCATTTCACATCTGATCCTGCGGGGGATACCAGCCACACCCAGGTGGTGGGGTGGGGGGATGAAGGACTGTTAGTTATGTGGGTGTTCATTACTCATTACAGTTAGGCAAATTCTGATCCTGAGAAAGTAAGGGAGGGAACTTTGCGTTCAAAATTTTATCGTCGTCTAAGTTTAGATCTTGGCCCAGAGGCGGCGTGTCAAGTAACACGACTGCAGGCTGGAGCAGCTCCACACTTCAGACAGAAATACTTCTTCACACGGAGCTTTAAGGAGAGACACAAGCCGCTGGATCAGTCCTGTAAACACCCATCTCCCACAGGAAACACTCTGACAGATCTTTCTCTTTTTTTGTCTTTGTTCTGCATCATGACAGAGGAAGAAGAGTCGGGCGTTCATCTACCTTTAACAGCTGAGTTCAGGCAGCAGACGCATTTTCTACGAGACGTCATCTTCCACGGCAAGTTTAGGGTGAGTCCAGGACCCTGAGGGGGCCAGCAGGTCTGCTGCATGACAGATTATGTTTTTAATCTGAGTAAAAATGCCCTTTTGGTACGAGGAACACTGTGACTGAGACAAAAGACCAGAAGTTTCTGATAGAGACACATCAGTCATTTTCAACTCACTGCTTGGTTTTTAAACTGTGGGAGAAAACCAGAGACATGTCTCTGTGTATGTGCACAACCTGCAGGATTACTGCACCTGCCAAACCAACACGTCTCCCACATCAGAGATCTGTGCAAAGACAAAAACTGCTCAAACTCAGCTTTAAGCATCGATTCAAGCAATTTGTTCATTTATTCAGCTGTGCTCTGTCACATTCTTGTAGCAACATAAATGTTGTTCAGTTGAGAAAATAACACATTAAACAATGTCATGCAAAAGGTTTAATATTAGCTAATGAAGCAATCTTTAACCACAATGTGTTCTTTTCAGAAAGTTCTTATATACAATCTTGAAAATGTATATCATTTTATTTATTTATTTATTTATTTATTTATTTGTTTGTTTGTTTGTTTGTTTATTCTTGTTATTTTTATTTTTAAATCTTTCGTTTGGTTTTAACTTATCCTGGATGAAGGCTTTTGTCTCTCTTTGTGCTGAACAGTTGAGCTCAGATTTATGGTGGTAGTAGCTGAGAGTCCTTCACAGCACACATTTTTGAGTAAAACATCTCACAATCAAAGATTTGATGAATCTAAACACAACTTGCAACACAATCTGATCTTAGTCTAAAACTCTGGTGTGAAAAGTGACAGGTGCAGTTCTTTCAAAGGATGGTAGTTGTTTTTTTATTATTGTTGATTCAACAATGAACACATCTCACAGAGCTCCGACACTAAGAGTCAAAGACGTGTCTTTAGTTGTCTGTCTCTGTTCTGACTCTGTGTTGACCCTGCAACCAGAATTAAAATCTAACTTTATAACAATCTGAGCTCAGAAAGAAAAGCCAAAATGGTGCTTTTAAATCCTTCCTTTTCACATTTAAATCATTCAGTTGGGGTCTATATAAAGTGGAACCACAAGCTTTGATCTGAATTCCTCCTTATCTTAACTCCACAAGTACCGCCCCTTTTTGGAGGTGTGTCTCAGATCCATTCGTTTTGAGGCTGTCTCTTTAGATCCAAGAGAGGCGTTTCATACCCCGCCCCTCTCCAGTTCCCAGACCGGTTCATTCTAGTCATCATTTTGTAGTTGGTAAGTCCAGAGCTTGGAAGTTCTGTCACAAATAATTTCACTTAATAGTTCAGAAAACATTATAGAAAATAGAGAAAATTGAACAGGCTGAAAAATCTGACCCAAACAGAATACAGAGATATCTATGCAGCACCAGGAGAAACTAAATTAATCTTTACTGCCTTCTAGAGCAGGGGTTTTCAAACCTTTTGGGTTTGTGGACCCCTTACAATAGCGAAAAAAATTCCAGGGACCCCCACATAAACCCCATGCTGTAATAAAAGGTAACTAATTGTCATTTCAACCCCTAAATGGCATGGGAATGTATATATATATTTAAGTTTATTATGTTTGTTTTATTAGTTCATTGTTTGTGCTTTTTCAAAAATAAAAACCAAATTAACAATTTAGTCAAAAAATTTAAGGACCCCCAAGATACCTCTCACGGACCCCTGGGGGTCCTGGGACCCCAGTTTGAGAACCTCTGTTCTAGATACTTTAAGTCCACTACACAATGTATTTAACAAAGTAGAATTTGCATGCAGCGCGACTGTGGCAGAGTGGTTAGGGGGAACCGGAAGGTCGCCGGTTCGATCCCCCGTCCAGCTGTCTCAGTTGTTGGACAATATCTGATGATTGACTCTTTTAAATGAAACCAGAGAGCGTTGACAGAGAGGAGAAGGTAGAAATGTCTCAGCCTGGAACTGAAAATATAGATGGAGGACAACAGAGCTGCTTCATGGAAGAAGAACCTCAGCTTAGCCTGTTAGTTTTAGCGTTAGCCCCAACGCTATCAGCATATATATGTATTAGCTCAGCGCTAGCGCGACAAACAAGCTAAACTGAGGTCCTCCATCCATATTTTCAGTTCCAGGCTGAGTCATTTCTACCTTCTCCTCTCTGTCAACGCTCTCTGGTTTCATTTAAAAGAGTCGATCATCAGATATTGTCCAAGATTAACCTTCAGGATGGATATAGCTCGCTAGCAGCCTCGCACCGAGGACCTAGTTGATGTCATCATTTACCCAGAATGCTTTGTGTATAAATAAAATGGCCCCGTCCGTGTAATATATTTTTAAACTTTTAGTTTAAAAATTATAAAAACTGAACATCCTACAGTATTTTTACAGTCTTTATTTTACAGTTAAAYTATATGTTTATCAAATAAAGTGTAATGTTACAACTAATCGTGGATCCCTTTAAAAAACAAGCTGGAATGAAACAAGCAAAAATTATTTTAAAAATGTACGGAGTAGAAAGTACAGATAATTGTGTGAAAATGTAAGGAGTACAAGTAAAACGTAAGCTGAAAAATAATTAAGTAAAGTACAGATAACCGAAATTTCAACCTAAGTACAGAATTTCCTATTTGCCCCGAACATCCGGTCCAGCACTTGATGCCACTCCCAACACTTCCAGTTCACGGTCAACACAGTGTTAGCGAAATATTTTTTCACCCAACGACGACTCTTAATGATCTCCACAGTACAGAATTAGCATATTACATGTACCAACATTAACACAAGAGACGAACAGGTCCAGCCAAGTGGAAAAAAATCACTCCAAAGTGGATTAAAGTCATAAAAACAAAGGAAAGACGTTCGTGTTTCTGGTTCCAGAATTTAGCCTTTTTCACTATTCCGTGGCTGCTTGTTTCACGTAGAGCTGCTGTGTTAGCTTCCTGCTAGCTGTCATGTGGGGGTGGTCTTTCCTCTTGGTCTTGGCAGTAAAAGGGGATAAATGTACATTTCCCTTTTGTAACCTCCGTCTTCRCATTTCTGATGCTGGCTCTTGAATATCCTCAGGTTAGAAATGCAGATTACAAACACAAGCGTGAGCTTTTAAAGATAAGTTTTCCCTGTAATGCTATGATCCTCTGCTGTCACCTCCTCATCAAGAGGAAAAAGGAGAAAAACTAACTACTCGATCGTATCTGCTGCTTAGTGAACACAAAGGCACACAACAGAACTCACATTTTATACCAGTAGATCATAAATGCTTTAACTTTTGTGCCTTTTTCACGGACTAGGAGCTAACGCTAAAAACATAGGCAGTAAGCAGGGAGTGGAAGGGAGGAGCGTGGCAAGAATTTTACCGAAAATACATCATTAATGACCGTGGCATATAGGCTATTTGTACTTAGTTACTTTACAAAGATGATGCTACCACAATGCGGTATCTAGTTTCAGTATTTAAACGATCCAGACTTCTGGTGTTGTGGAGAGACAAGCAGTATCCCCAGTGGGTCTGACTCCCGCTTAGGATTTAACTTTTATATCGTTATTAGAACATTTCAAAACAGTATAAAAGAGGGAAATAATGAGGAAACACACAGTCAAACACCAAAGATGATGTTTTATACTCATGTGAAAGCCAAGAATGCACAGTGGGTGCTAACAATTTAATCAACTGTTAGCTTGGAGGCTATGAAAGCTAGCATCATCATCGCCGAAATAAAGAGGTGCACACAGACGTGAAAACAAATACATAATCAATCTGCCAGTATCCCATGCTCCACATGTGTACAGGAAGTTTCAAAAATTTCTTTTGTGCATATAAAACCAAGAAATGATGCTCAATTTTATGTCCACAAGCAACCTCTGTCAAGTTTTTAATTTTTTAAATATTTTATTTCTTTAGAATGAACGCTAACATTTCCTGCATGGTAAATTCACAACCCTTACCGACTTCTGTCTGCTGCTGAAGGCTCTGACCGCAGAGGAAAATACCGGCAGCCAGCACGGCCTCTTTTTCCAAGACGGCCAGCGGCGCGTGGACTACGTCCTCACGTATCCCGTCAGAGAACCGGACGGGGGCCGCTCCAGCATACAGCCAGAGCACCGACCCAATGAAAACGATATCACCCACAACCGCGGCAGCCAGACCCAAGGTGGAGACCTCCAAACCCACCCCTCTTCCTTCCAGTCCTCACCGGCAGCTGATGTGGAAAAGGGTCATCCAGAGGAGACCTTCAGCAGCCCAGAAGACCACAAGGCAGCGAGGAGAGAGGAGTTCGAGGCAAAACTGAGAACCATGGGTCTGGAACTGGAAAGAGACGAGGAAGTAAGTTTTCATCTCTTTCTTTAACTCGCAAGGTTTTATTGCTAATTGCTAAAAGCCTGGGTATGTGCTGTCTCTGCACCCATGGAGCTAGTCTCATAAAGGCTGTCACTGCAGCAAAACCTACTTAGTCATCAGGATTAAACGTTGCTGGTTGTGTTTCTGTATGTTTTCTGTATGTTTAGCTCTCCTGATCTGGTTAGTGTTGGGGGGGGGGCATGTATAATCTGACAGATTGGTCTTTTATCAGGTGTTTTTCATGTATATTTAGACTGATGGATGAAACAAGTTAAGATTGTGTAAAAACTTTGTTCGTAGGCAAAACACTGCAGCCTGTAAAGAAAAAGTATCTTACTTTTTAAATTTATTTTGTTGCATTTAAACATAAATTCTAAATGTACAATTGATTAGTCCTTAGACCCAGTAAGGTCTATTTAGGGGTCCCAGAAAGGAGGATCTGTTAGAAAGTTGAATCTCAGATTAAGGAACAGCAGTATGGTTTTGGTCCTGGTCGTGGAACAGTGGACCAGCTCTACACCCTCAGCAGGGTCCTGGAGGGTGCATGGGAGTTCGCCCAACCAGTCCACATGTGTTTTGTGGACCTGGAGAAGGCGTTCGACCGTGCCCCTCTGGGACTCATGTGTGTGTGTGGCGGGGGGGG